CCACAGTGGTCATACTTGCCATCCCCACACTGGTACTCTCGTAACTCTCGAGAAACAGGGTTTCTCTCACCAGGGTAAAACCTGCCCCAGTGTCTCTTAATATCTTCACCGGGATGGGGTCTGCATCCCCCATCCTTACGGTTCCCTCACACATGAATGGGTTAACTCTTTTCTCCCCACTCAGTACGGGTTCATCCCGCACCCACTCGGCCATCTGGTCCTCGACCCTCACGAAAGCAACGTTCCCCCGCTGCTCAGGGTATCTGCATTCCCGCGCGACGGGTCCGAATATTCCACAGTTGTAGCAGCGGATCCTTCTTCGGTGGATCTTCCTCGCGCCATTCATCGACTCCTCGGTTTCGGCAACAACTCTTGAGCTCTCAGCTTGGGACTTCTTTACCGGCTCCACAGCACTCTTTGAGCCTTTCCTGTCTCCACTCGAGAGATGGGACTCAGGAGAACTCGCTCCTGTCCTCCATCCGTCCGTCCTTCTATAACTTCTACCATTTCCGGAGTGTTTGGTCGGTCGGTGCCGTCCCTCTCGGTGTGGTCGCAGAGCTTCTTCCAGCATGTCGGCTCTGTCGGCTGCGGCCCTCAGGTCCTTTATGTCTGCTTCCTTTACTCTCACCCTGATCTCAGGAGAGAGCACGGATATAAACTTCTCCATGAGCATAAGCCTCTTGACCTCTTCAGCCGACCTCGCTCCTTCAGAGTCCAGCCACTTAAGGAACTTTCTCTCCATGTCCCTCGCCGTCTCCGCATAAGATTTTCCTGGCGAACGGGTACATTCCCTGAATCTCTTCCTGTAACATTCCGGCATGAGCTTGAAAGAATGGAGCACAGCTCTCTTTACAGCATAGTAGTTGGTACACTCTTGGAGGTCGAGCATATTGTAGGCTTCACGAGCTTCACTGGTGAGCCTACCCTGAACCAGCTCCGCCCACTCCGCCCTCGGCCACCTCTTCAAAGTAGCAACCCTTTCGAAGTGGTCGAAGAAACCTTCAGCTTCGTTTGGTACAAAGACCGGCAAATCTCGCTCCCTCACTCGGCGGTCTTCCTGCTGTGGCGGAGCAGGTGGAGCTAGTCCTAGCTCAGCTCGCTTCAGCTCCACATCCTTGTTAGCTTCTATTTCCTGCTGTTTCAGCCTGACTTCTCGCTCGTGCTCTTCACGCTTCAGTTGCGCTTCTTCTCTCCTCAGCTGTGCTTCTCGCTCCTCACGTTTCAGCTGTGCTTCTCGCTCCTCACGCTTCAGCTGTGCTTCTCGCTCTTGTTCTTCCCTGCGCAGCTGTGCTTCTCGCTCCTCACGCTTCAGCTGTGCTTCTTCTCTCCTCAGCTGCGCTTCTGCTTCTCGCTCTTCTTTGCGCTGCTGTGCTTCTCGCTCTTCTTTGCGCTGCTGTGCTTCTCGCTCTTCTTTGCGCTGCTGTGCTTCTCACTCTTCTTTGCGCTGCTGTGCTTCTCGCTCCTCTTTGCACTGCTGTGCTTCCAGCTGCAGCTTCATTATCTCCAGCTTAACGCTGTGCCTGTTGCCGCTGGATCCTCTGCTGTTCCCACCAATGCTCAGGTGTTCTCCCATACTGGCAGGTGTTTGGGGCCGTTCCTCCCCCAAAGCTTCGTCTCGTGCTCTGAGCTGTGCCATTATCTCCAGTCTTCTCTCTCCCACTCTGGAAGATTTCAACTTTATCCCAAAATGGTCTGCTATTGACTGTAACTGTGCCTTGGCGCACTCCTCCAGCACCTGCTCATCTCTAGTATCAATGAACCTTGTTACTTTATCATCCTCCATCTTGTGCTATGAGTGATAACCTGTACCTGATATCTAATACCACTGCCAAGTACCACAACTGCAACCTTTATTTCGATCGTGATCCTGGCGAGGTCGCCAATGTCGGGGTTTATCGGCGAGCAACAGTATACTCAAGGTCACTCATCGTAGCCCTGCGGGTCTTCACTCTATCCTCGCGGCGCCACTGTACGCCAGGAGAGTATCCCAGGCAATCCCAACCGGCCTCTGATCAAGAAGGAGTGGGAACACAACTTGTTCACTCAACTATTGTGTGCCCGCCCCGTCATGGGCTCTACTACTAACCACAAGGTCTCCAACTGGTGTTTTCGGTGTCCAGTAACACGTCAGTGGATTTGTTGAATTGTGGAAACAGTGGCAAGGACACACTCAATAGATCTGATATCAGGCAGGTATTTACTTCTATCACGATCTGCTGTCAGGTATTATATAGCCACAAGAAATATGGAGGGGATGATATAAACACCAATGTACTTTGTATTTTACTTAAAACTCATTCAAAGACATCACAAGATTATATCAATAAGCAAACAGCTGTTTCAGGCGGGAGTCTCTCGTTCCCACATATAATATGAACTCACCAAGCTGGCAATGCTCCCCCCTCACATCAATGTCAAAATCAGCCGGGCGACTACCCCCGCGCGAATGTTACTTTATCTGTTTGCTTGTGGCGTGATGTGCCAATTTCTTTAAGTTCTCAAAGATCACTAGAAGTTCGAACACACAATATTTGCGACAATAGCACGTAAATACTTCGCTACACTGATCTTGGGTTCAATCAAACATTTCTATATTAAAGGTGACAATAATTCACTGTCATGGTATTACACACTGCCCTTCATTTAATGATAACGTATGCAAGTATATATCACTGGAGTTCTCAGAAATTCCTTTCGTGGGCGATAACACAATTAATCACTGCACACATGAATGATTATTCAATACACGAGCATAGACATATATATATATATATATATATATATATATATATATATATATATATATATATATATATATATATATATATATATATATATATATATATATGTGTGTGTGGATGAGTCATAGACATCAATAATGGTGATAACATAGTTACTGGGCACATAGCCTACCTCCAAATACTGGCATATTTATTATATATTCTCTCACTAAATGATCATATTAAAGTCTCATTAAAGACGTTATCAACACAGTAAATTCATCAATTACTCCGGGTGCCAGCACACACCAATAATAGTAATAAATCCCGTGGGTACTCTATGTAGTACCACTCTGCACACTGGTGCCTTACTGTGACATAGGTGAGCCTTGCTCACGACATACAAAATACTCTGGCTAAATAATATAGCTGACTAAAGGGGAATTGGGAGGGAAACTAGAATCACCTACTTCCACCTATCCTCCGGTGAGAGTTGAGTTGTAGCTCCTGGTCCTGGCTCCTGCCTCGTGTAGGGAACGCCCCCACACACACTCTGTCTTGTCCTCCAGGAACTCAATCAACGTCCCACCGTAAGCGCGTCGTCTCCGTGCCTTTTCACTGCAGGTCCATGCTCCTCCTCGACTTCTTGTGGGGTTGGAGTCGGTCTCCCGGCCGTCGACTTCTCCTCCCAGCTACGGCTGCCCGCCTACGTCTCGGCTGCAGTCGTTCAGATTCCCGAATAGTTTTCCTCTTCCACTGCTTCCCGGTGGCTCGGTCCAGCCACTACGCCGTCACAAACGGGTGAACTGCCTCAGACGTCGTATACGTCACTGCACAGACTTCACTTCTTCTTGCACAGTACCTGTCCTGGAGCACTTGTTGCTCAATACCCCGTCGATTCCCTCTCTGGTCCAACACATGAACGAAGGAAGAGCTCACAGAGTACTGGCAGACTTCGGGTGACGCGTAAAATCCACGGGAATGGGAAACAACTGTCAAACTGACAGGACCAATCTTCGCACGTCCAACCACTTTGACGTGTCGTGTCAGACTGATTCCCTCCGGAGGATTGGCTCAGCAACTACGTCATCACTGTGGAGCTATCAGCCGTCGCATACGTCGCTGCCTAGACTCCACTCTTGCACAACACCTGTTCCTGGAGCACTTGTTACTCAATATTCTGTCGATTCCTTCTCTGGTCCAACACATGAACGAAGGAAGACCCCACAGGTGATGGCAGACCACGGGTGATGCGTAAGTCCTCCGGAGACGTGGTAAACTGTCCAACTGACAGGACCCCCCAGCGCACGTCCGACCTCCTTGACATGCTGTCTTAGACTGATGACGTCAGCGCGGCGCGATGACCGGACCCCCCTTCCTTCGTGACGTCATATTCGCCACGGGAGGTTTTCATTGGCTCCCTGTGCTGTCGGTGACCAATCTGGTGTCACTGACGTCACACAGTTTTGGCGGGAAAACAGAAGAGCCAGCGCCATATTGGCTTCCTAAAGGGCCTTAACCACAGGCCAAAATACTCTAATTTTATGAATTTCTCGGCACTTCGAGAACACTACATTCTCCTACACATATCAAACCGATGCCTGCGACGTAGAGAACGCTCGGGTAAAGTGGACATGACTCTTACTGCAGGCGTGGGAGAAATATAAGGGGGGGAACACCGTCACAGTGATCACACTATTACCTGGAATGAGGCAAAAAGCATTACCAATTATGGCGGTTTCGTGGAACGGAATTTGATTAAATCTGCTCTAATCAGTCAATGTCCAAATCTTCTTAATGTTAGTACTGGTATGTACAAACGATCCATTTTTAAGTTATAATATTGCACAACAGTTTAAGAAAAAACTCTGATAGGGAAGGTTACAATGTCTCATTACAATTTTATATTCAAATATTATGTGTTCATGAGGTTTTTCTTTAATCTTTCATCCTTATTCTCTGACCACTTAATCCTCTTTGACTATTCTAAGCTACGCTATACCTGTTTCTGATTATTTTTTTCCCTAGAGATGGGTTGGTCAGGTTCCAGGTGTTGGCCTGTACCCTCCCTCTCTTTCCTCTAGTCAGTCTGGTGTTGACAACGGCTTTGATCAGGCCGAAACGTTCACTTCCTTTCACATTTCTCTGTGGATTTTCCGCATAAAAATGATCAGTGTTTTGTGATCGTGAAATGCATAATTTATATATATATATATATATATATATATATATATATATATATATATATATATATATATATATATATATAATTGTCAACCATACTAATGTGAAAATAATCATCAATTCAACTGGAAGACTCGAATACTTTTTCCACATTCACTGTTGATTCCATAATTTGTTGAATTTTATTTTACTACCTTCTTTTAACCAATTTTTAACTATATGTTATTTTAAACATATTTTACTGGCTTGTCCACTTTAAAACATATTTTAAAATTATACTGGGTTAGAGACACACACAGCCGCGAGAGCCTTGACAGGTGAGCTACATGCTGGATAACTCTGTGTCTATTGATATTCGAGAACTGTCTACAGTGTCTGACGTCAGACCTGGCCGCGGTGGCGTCATACTTTTACCAGGACGAGATTTAGCTTCCTTGAAACAGAGCTCCTGCACCGCCCGCCACACTTTGCTCCTGCAGGTGAAGGTCAAGAAGATGAAGACTCCCTGCAGAGTGTTGAGGACCACGAAGACGCACCACGCGGCCTCCCACTGCAGGTAGCCAGCCACGATGCCACTGATCCAGAAGAGGCCCATCATCACGGTCAGTCGTACATACAGCAGAAATTGTTTCTTGTTTTGTGAACACGAGTTCCTTCGTAGCGTCGGCTCATTGCTGGCACCGATGGTGTATGAAGTAAAAAGGAAAAACATAACATTGAGAGCCATAACTACAGTTAGTGGAGTAGCCAAAAACACCATTAATGCTTTGCGGTGCCCGAACCAGCACAAACGTTGACCAAAGTTGGGCTGGAGCTCTGAGGGAAGACCTACAGGGGCGGTCTTATCAAGGGTTACTGTGACGACCACAGTGAGGGAGGGAAGCAGCCAGCCGTACACACAGTAGAATAAGAACTTGCTTCGTTGTCTCCCAGATGACACTCGCAGCTCATCTTTAGCTTGTCGAAATGTCAACCACACGTCAAAGGCCATGATATTCATCCAGCAGAAGGAAGCGAGGAAGAAGTAATACATGAGGACTGCCGAGATGTAACATCCTGTCGTTGTAGGCTTGAGGAAGGTGCTGAAGATGAAGATGATGTAGGCGGTGAGAAGAGACAGGCAGAGGGACGCCAAGGACTTGCCCGGGAGGTTCCTAAGACGTGGCACCAAGAGGAAGGCAGCCAGGTGAAGCAGGAGACAAAGGCAGGACAGCCCAAGACCCGCCAGTGAGACCCAAACCATCACCCGGGAGAAGTTTTCTGTGAGTGTTTTTTTCAAACATACCCAGACACCGCATTTAGTAATCTCGTACTGTCCTGTCTGGTACCATTGGTCGTAAGGGTCTACGTACACTTTTCTGTTCTCGTACAACATGAATTCTCCTTCTCTTAGGCATATTTTTTCACACTTAAGAGTTACTTTAAATTCACAAGTCGCACTGTTACTTTTTGTGGTGTATGAAGAACAAGTCGAGGCATCGGTGCTGTTGGTCGTTCCCTCAACATCAACATCTATGCACTTGTCGCCTGTATGAGTTTGAATCACATTTCTCTGCGTGTTTCTGCACGTCTTTAAAAAATGATCATAAAATTCGCCGGTCTGGCAAATATTTAAGAATCCGTCATTATTATTTCCACTACGGTCAATAAAATCAAATAACAGAGAAAAGGCAGGGGCATATTCTATGGAAGCAGAGAGCCGACACTGACCGTTAGAGGGGTGTTGCAAGTTACACACAAGACAATGGGGGTTCCTATAGGCCAAGTCTCCCACATACCTCACTGCCGTATAAGAGTGACACAGAGCAGCGACAGAAGGATCCGGCCAGTTCTCCGCACACGACCTGATGGTGGAGTAGCATGCCCTTGTAATAACGGGAATATCAAGGATTTTAATGCTAATATTGCATTTCTTAAATATATTTATATTATTTAAGGGAATAAATGCTCCCCAAGTTCCGTTTGCGAACAATAAATGAGAAGTTATGTATTCGCATAAGTTATCCGGCTGATCAGGATGATATTCCAGGTCACATTCCACTTGTGTGGTCCAGAGTGTGAGGTGATGGGAGTCGTTGTTGCAGATGGCGCAGTAGTAGTTGGTGTAGATGACGGAGGTGGTGTTGCTGGTGGCGGGGAGGTGGGCCAGCGGGTCCCTGCTGCTGGAGATATCTGCCGGTGAGCCAACCAGGCACAGCTGGGCTACCTCCTCGTCCTGCCACCCTGACATGCACGTGCCCTTCATGTAAACGCTGTCATAACCCACACTCACACACTTGTACCTCTCTGGCCGGACCTGATCTTCCCGTTTGTAGTGGACGGCGTCAGGACAACAATCGCCATACTCCGCACACAGATCATCACAGTAACAGTTTTCTTTACTCCGGTAATTACCACCATCACAAAACCCCCCAACTGAACACGATGCATTCATAGCAACCAAATCACTATGTATGTGATCCAACATCTGGCTCTTGACTGTTGCCAGTGTCAACACAAACAGAATCTTGCACGTCATTGCTATTTTTTGAATGGTTGGTAAAAATTGTATCACAATAACGAAGTTAATCACAAGTTGTTGCAGGTGAGCGAGCAAGCACCTCTCCCGCTCGGCCTTCACCACACAACTAAACAACATCTGCCCCCAGGAATGCTGCCCGCTAATTGCAAGACGTTGCAATATAGGCGATCTTTTTAATTTTTGAATAAAATTATTAAGACATTAAAATATATTGGAACAATTTTATTATAATAAGAGACACGAAAATAATACGGAGTTGTGTGGAAAAAGGTGCTGTAAATCCAAACAGCTTCGTCAATGTGAAAAACAAAAACAAGAGATACTACGACAGCATAGTAGTGGAGAGACGAGTGGAGGAAGCGTGATAATTTTCCTGAATTTATCTGAGGGGGCCACTAACATTCCAGTGTCCTCGACGAGGACAGGAAGCCGACGGCTTGTCAAAGTTCCCCCCATTTATACCGATGATTTTTTTCAAGCTGGATTTTAAAATTCCGCAGTGTTTCAGTGTTTACGGCATCGGTGGGTAGGCGGTTCCATGACCTTCTGACCCTGAGGGTGAAAAAGCATCTCCTGTTTTCTGACCTACATTATGCTTGTTGAGCAGGAAAATGTTCCTCAAGGTGACCTTGAGCTGGAGGTCCGTTGAGCTGTAAACGTTGCTTACAGCTGACTTTTAAAGTTATCTGGATCAATATCCTCCACATTGTTCAGTCTTTTAAGTTCCGATGAGATCCGCCCTGTCATGTCTGGTTTGCAGTGTTAGCCCTGAGGCCCTCAAGCGTTCCTGGTATGATAGTCGACTTAGTTTTGGAATGAGTTTTGTTGGCCAGGGGACCATTGACCTTATCGTGCTCCTGACGAGGTACAAGGCTGGGGTGTGACCACCCACTCCGTGTGTGACTCCCACTCCGTGTGTGACCCCCACTCCGTGTGTGACCCCCAGCTCCGTGTGTGACCCCCCCCCCACTCCGTGTGTGACCCCCCACTCCGTGTGAGACCCCCACTCCGTGTGTGACTGGGACACCCCCCCCGGTGATAGTTGCTCACCACAAGGGGACAACACCGCCTCACAGTATGGAAGCATTACAATAAAATATCAGATACACAGCCCCACCAGGAGACACTACCAAACATGGTACACATTGACTCCAAAATTGTCGATATTGCACCATGGAAATATTATTCCAGTGTGACATGAAAACTGAACGGTGCAGTTAACTAACTTCCACAGTGTTATGATCTCAGCCTACAGGAGAAACGAGTCTCCCCCTTGAGAGTTATTCAACAAGCCTGACTTAACTAGAAAGTATAGGAAATATAGAGGTGATAACACAGATGTAAAATAGTTTGTTGGAATTAATGGACAATTTAAGATTATGGGCAGTGAATAAGAAAATAGATAAATGACTGGTTAGGAGATGTGGATAATTTGCTGGAGGTGTGAGGCTCGCTTCTGGAGGGCTTTGACCTCACTTGAGGCCAGACATCGCAGGGGGAAAGCCTCACTCCTTTTGAGCTCCCATCAGAAAGGAACCCCTAGTGATATATCTCCAAGAGAATAGAAGTGTGCAGACGTGCCAGCTGTGGAATTGAGCTGAGGACGTTGTGGTCTCAAGTCCTGGACGGCGAGGAGAGTATTAAGCCGCCCAGAGACATTTTCGTGGGCTGTGGAAGCGCCCTGACCAGGCTCCGTCAGAGGGAGGAGCGCCCTCGACGAGACAATCTGTGGTAAGCACGATTTAAGCCAGTTCATAGTGATTGTTTGTAGTTGGTCGTGTGCCCAGCGACAGTAGCAATGTTTATTGATGAGTTAGAAATGTTTTGGTAAGGCAGGAAGCCTAAATAAGAGAACGGAGATGAGAGAGACAGCTGGGGGGACAAGCACCGCGTCCTCTCCCGTCGACCGCTTTAAGCCAACTGACTGAGGGGCGGCGGAGGAGTGTGGAGGCCCGCCGGGCGAGGTGGAGCATGGACCAGCCCAACGGGGGAATCCACTCTCACAGTATGTAGAGGACAGATAGAGGTTGGAGGCAAACATATTGTGTGATTATTTTTGCTTATGTGTTAAAGGGGAAACATTTTTATTGGAGTGTCAATGGGTTGCAGGTTTGTTTTTGAGGAAGAAGTTGCTGAGAACTTCGAAGCCAGCACAGAGGAAGTAGTTGATGAGACTCCAAGGTAGTGGAGCAGAGGACCTCGTACTGTGAAGAGAAGCAGTGAAGAGGAGTGTCACGTGCTTCTGTATAGGTGATGGAGCACCATAGTTGCTCGAGGGAACTTCACGGTGTAGCAGCCAAGAGAGCTGTGGAGGAACCTAGCAGAAGGGTGAAGCACCGAAGTTGCTCAAGTAAAACTTCATGGTAGCAGCCTGGAGGAGCTGCAGAGGGTCCTGGTAGTTAAACCCGGAAGAACCTGAAGATATCAGGGTAGTGTGTTACGGTGCCCTCTCCTATTTCTTTCGTTTGCCGGCTTAAAGAGTCATATCAGCTCTCCCTACTGATTCTCTGAGGTTCAGGGAGTCTAATGATATATGTGGCGACCAGACCGGCTGCCATTTAATGGAAGGAGGTTATATTATAAGTTGTAAATAAAGGAAAATTGGCGCCCTGTTATAAAATGAAACAGTATCCCCTACGGCAGATATGACCTTGTGGAAGGGACACTATGCCGATCGCGGATTGGCCGACGTAGGTCGCGGGCGACAAATCAGGGCCCGCCATGACGTCACCGAGTGCCCCGGGCGGCGCCAACGTCAGAGTTGTACTGACCGTGGAAGCGACAGGACGCGCCTCGGTCTGCTCTCAAGGATTGGAGGCTCTGCAAGCCTTGTTCAGTGGATTGAGCTGGCCTGCGCAGCCCACCATAGTTATTGGAGACCCTGCGCTTCTGGGAAGCCAAAGAGGAACCAAGTTCAGTGAGCAGAGAAGTGCCCAAACTTGGAAAATAGTCGGCGACGACGCTGGGCGGCGCCGCTGGCTGGACGTTGAGGTCTGGAAGGTGGGCGAGCAAGCTAGCTGTGACTGGGGTCACATCCACTGAGAATCTTGGAAGGACGACACCGTGCCTAGGACAAGGAGCGACGCCCTGTGGGAGAGGCGAGTGTGGGGAAAAATAGTGATTAGCTCAGCGCCCATCGATGAACCAGGATTGGGGCAGCTGAATCTCAGGGATTGGAACGGCGACGACGCGAAGGCTTCACGACACCTGAGGACCTGTGGAACGCCCTGGATCGTCGAGGATCGACCCAAGGAAGCGTGGGAACCTCACACCATCGAGGGACAGGCGTCGTGAGCCAGGAGTGTAAGGTAGATCATTTTCCCTCCCATTACCCCTTGTATGAGTAGGCTAGTTAGGCCACAATATTTACTTGTGTATGTGGCAGCAAGACTTTATTACTTTAATAGTAGAATAGGCTGCAAGGCAGCTTGTGTCCAGGACTGTCAGAGAGGACAGTGTGTATGGATGGCAGGACAGTGAAGAAGAGGTGCCGACGTGGTGAAGAGGCCCTCCTGTGAGAGTGTGAGACTCCTGTCTTCCTGCCCAGTTGAAGGAGTGTTGGAGGTCGTGGAAGAAGAGGCTGACGATCTCCAGACTCATCATCCATATTCCATATTCATGTATTACTTGTGATTGTGTGTGTGTGTTCATGTAATTTGCGTCAGTAAATCCACACATTTTATTACTGTGTTTGAGTGTGCCTCCATTTGTGATATTTCTCTATGAGCATACATTTCTGGCTACAAACGATATATGATACACCCACTGAACTGCATTGCTGGGGTGCAGATATAATAACCCAGCTGGCGACCTTGCTAAGAGGAAGATAGAGAAGACAGGCGGGAAAGGAGTTCCTGCAACCTTTTTTTTGTCTGGCAGGCAAGACTCAGGGAGGTTATGGTTATAGGTAAGCCTGAGTCTTCCTTCACTCCCCCACGGGTCTAGGCCGGAACTGTTAACAGCAGTTTCCCCGTGGTTGACTGAAGGGCTTCCAGGGTGAATCAGTGGCACCCCTTTGTGGTGGAAGCAAAGACCTGCGGAGGTGGGCATTGTTGGTCCTATCTTGTGTGACCAAGGAGACTCCGGTGAATCCAGGGAGTCGGAGGGGCTGAGTATTTGGGCCCTTTGAGCCCCTAGCAGCCGAGTGTTAGCAGAGCCCCGGACCGCCCACCCCCACGTGACAAGAGAACTGGCGACCTTGCCAGGATTCGAACCCCAGTAGCCAAGAACTGGGAACTTCGCCAGGAAGCGTGGATCAAGCTACAGTGTGGACCAAATTTCAAGACAAGTGTTGCCAGGGTACTAATACAGTGTGGCCAGTGAATTCGGTGGTACTGTTACTCAACCAGCTAAGGGACTGAAACGGTGAAATTAGTGCCTACTAACTTGTCTGTGCTGTCGTGTATGCTCAATGATATAGAGATGGAGGAAGACAAAGTAAAGAAATTTATTGACACAAGGGACGAGAGAATTTTGGAAGAGTGTACCAAGGCCCAGCTCCAACAAGTGGCAAACCACTTTGGGATCAGGTTGAGGACGACTAAGGTAGCGGAGCGAAGGATAGAGATCATGGCACAGCTCACAGCTCGAGAGGAAGCGACGGGAGAGGAGCCATCTCAAGAGGAGCCGTCCCGAGGAGAGCCGTCGCAAGGTGAACCGTCCCGACTAGGGCCACCCCAAGCGCCTACCAGTGTGGAGAGAATTCACAGTGAACATGGGAGCAGTGGAAGGTCCAGCTGTAGTAAGAGGAGCCTGCAACTGGAAATAATGAAGATGCAACTGGAAGCCCAGCTGCGACGAGAGGAAAGAGAAGCGCAAATGCAGCGAGAGGAGCGAGAAGCACGGCTGCAGCTGCAGCGAGAGGAGCGAGAAGCTCGGCTGCAGCGAGAAGAAGGAGAGAGACGACTGCGACTGGAGGAGATAAAGGCAAAGAAAGAAGTCGAATTGCGTCGCGTTGAACGTGGTCTGCCCTCACTACCTGCACGGCGGGATGACCTCAAGGTAAGGGAACGTGACTTACCTACGTTCGAACCACAAGAAGCTGAGGCGTTCTTCGAACACTTTGAACGGATAGCGACTCTGAAGG